TTGAAAATGAACTGTAATTGTATAGCTCGTCACTACCTTCTCAGTTCCTTATTTATTTCTGTTACTTGCTGGGTTGGTTGTACTCATGCTACACCTTGCACTTCATGTGCAGATCCAGGTATGTTTGATCACGGAGGTCATTGAGTTCGTGCGCGATCGAGTATCGGAGATTACGAGGTAGCTGCCGGCGTCCGCAGACCTTGTCTCTCCTTTTATGTTTTCTTTTTTTTATTGTATTGATACTTAGATACTATTTGTATTAGACTGGATATCTAGATGCTCATGACTCAGTGACACCCCGATATCGGGCTATTTTTCCGCACTTATATTTTGGGTTTTACTCCGTTTTTATGAAAAATTTCGGTTATTTTAAATGTCTTAATTCATTTCTGTTAAATGTTGAATGTATTTTAGAAATGTCGGCTTGCCTAATATCACGATAGGCGCCATCACGACGGGTTAAGTTTTGGGTCGTGATATAACTATCCTTGCAAGTGATAAAGAATACTACATGAAGTCTTCAAAACTTGCATCTTGACTTATAAGTTCAACTCTTCAAACCCTGTAAAAAATAAAAAGTAGAAAATTATGAAGATCATATTATGTATTTGAAAGATAACAACAATGAGAGGAACACCTGAATATTGCACACTTTCTTCTCCTTAAAAGCATGTCATTTACATATATAATCCAATTGCACTTTTTCAAATATAGATTAGTGTAAAATAGCCTATCAATATTTACGAAACACATTATCCGAGTAACAATACTTTCACAAGTTTTAATAATGTACATACCTTTAACCAATATGCAGTGAATCGTATTTCCTCCGGTGAGACAATCTGGAAGTAATTAAATATAGTTTAGATCTTGAAAATCAGTTTGTGCTCAACACATAAATTATAAACCGATATATATTGTATAAAAACGTTTACTTAGCACAACTTCATGGCCAATGATAGTGACTAACACACTCAAGCAATTCAAGGAGGAAAGACTTCTTCATGTGCCATTTCAAGAATATGAATAAAGGAAAGAGTAAAACTATTGTTAACCATGTAATCAATAATTTTGAGAGCTAGATATTGAGCAAATTACATAACTAAGAGCCCAAGACAAAAGGCATTATACAATATGGAGGATGAAGCTGAAACCACTGACCATTCTCCATACATGTCTTTGTTCAAATAAAATAATTAGTCTATAGCTATCATTAGTCATAACCTAAGAACTCCAATGAAGATGTTCCTTAAGAACTATTTATTTGAAACTATCAAAGTAGATGCTGAGAATTACAGTAAGAAACTTTTATTTACCTGCCATACATATTGATATTTCCTCCAAAGCTTGACCAAAAAAAAGGACGTCATGAAAGTTCCATTCACAACCCATCTCAGGGTCATAATAGATACCTTATCAAATTAGACACAGGGACTAGACTAACTGTGTGAGATAATTATACCGGGGCTATTAGCTCTGACAATGATGAATCACGAGAATCGAATTAACCAATAAATAAATTATACCCATAACAGAACTGCAACAAAATGATAAGAATAATTATGTTCCTCCAATGTAAAGACAGAGATCCATTTTCAATGGCCAATGTGAACAAATATCTGGCGATAATAACAACTTTTAGTTAAAGTAAGATGCAATTGTCCTTCTTGAAATATTTTAAACTGCACCACTCAGCCTCTTTCCTTCCTATTATTTACTTCGTGAGGTTGAAGTAAGATGCAATTGCCTTGAAATTTTTAAATTTTGGTAATATTTGCTCCTTGTTGTGTTTTTTACTGTGACAAGCTTAAATGAAGTGACACAAACAATTTATAATGCCCAAAACAACCAACATATTCTCAAAACATAGAACAAACATAAATATTAAGATTGATGAAGCATTAGAGTTAAATTTCATAAATCAATCACCCAATGAAGGTATTGCCAAACAACTTTATTGAATTAAATTTGGGTTTAACATTGTCTTCTAATTCAATTAAAATAAGCTAAAAGATATTGAGATTGACAAAATACGATGTTTGTGAGCTAAGAGATTGACCTCATGTGTAATCTGATGTTGCAATCTTAAAGAAGGTTTCTCTTGTCGATATCAACTACTACATCTCATCTTCCACAAGTTCCGACAAATGACTACGGGTAAGCATTGTATAATCAATTTTTGAAGAGGATTTTTGAATACTTCAAACCACCCGTTGTGAAAAAATATATTATAAATGCGTAGTGTGTGAAGATTGCAATATATTATAAATAGCTAATAGAAAGTGTAGTAGAGTAAGCTATTGTTATGTTGAGCTTTATATTCTCTCATCTGACTCTGTTTCATCTCCTTTTATGTTCTCTCTATCAGTTGGTTTCCATTAATGTTCAATTGCAATTTCCTTTATTAGTCTATTGTAATTCAGTTGAGTAATCTCTCTCTCTCTCTCTCTCTCTCTCTCTCTCTCTCTCTCTCTCTCTNATTTATCTATTTTCTCCCTTTTCTACAATTTCTTATTCATTCTACTACATAACAAACAAACCAATTTGGGAAAAGACTATAGTTTTGCTTCTGAAGGGTCACATTAGTAACGTAAAACACTAACCGTTTGCTTCTGAAAAGTCGCGTTATAATCAATTCCATTTACGCTTCCGTTTCCGGTCGTTCACTGTCTTTTGTCCTCCTCTAATATCTACCCATGCAAAGTGCAACAATTATATTCTAAACAGACCGCCCTATGGGTATGCCTCCAGCTTATTCTGTGTTGCAATATCCTTCTTCTTCAATTCCTAGAATTATTAACAATGATATGATTGCTTAAATTTAAGTATTGATATTATTCTTTGTTGCGCAGTTTTACTTTTGAAGAAATGAAGAGATTTGACCACCACCGGACATAAATTTCGCGGCACAGGCCCCCTCAGGTTCCAGATGCTCATGATTGTTTTGACGTCAATAAATAGACAACGATCATGTATGCATACTCTCCCACTTGAGAATTCATGTTGCCTTAAAAATATTATAAATTGAAGTGTTATTTGGAGAAAATTCTGTTTTAAAAGGCTAGATAAGTTATCCAGAATGATAATTGTCCGCCTCATTCTGTTGGAAAATTTGATAAAAAGGAAGTATTAGAAGTTGAAGTAAAAAGAAGTTAATGCTATATATGCAGATATGAAATTCACTTGGCAATAGGATTCAAAAGAAGATCTCTCTCTCTCTTATTTTGCTGTTTCTTGGGTAAGGGTTATAGCAAACTGAGTTTGCTCTTTTGTCATTGGTGCATTCACAAAGTGACTGGCAGAGTGACAGTTGGAGAGCTCGGAATATGAGATATGTTGGTGAAATTCTTTTTGCTTCATTAAAATTTTCTTCTTCTTTTTCTCAATTTGAATTGAATAATTGTTAACCTTCTTCATCTTTCTACTCTTTATTTAACCGTTTAATGTTGTATACTTTCAAGTACAAAATAATACTTAGGTAATGTATTAGTTATGGTGAGCCAAACATCTAAAGGATTTTGCTGTTTGAACACATCTATTGGGATTCAGGAACGACAGTAGCTTAACTTATGGCCTACTTCGGGGAATTATATTTGATCTAATTTTTTTTTGTATGGAATGAATTAATCATACCGCTTTTGGCCTACTTCGCGAGACTTTTGGACTCATGTGTAGTGTGACAAAAGTCTTGAGTTGATTAGAATTAGGAGTTAAGGTATGTTTTACGTTATAAGAATTCCATTTCTTTTTCGTTCATGATTAGATAATCGAACGAAGAGAGATACTACATGTTCGCCAAGTGTATTCATCTTCAACAGTTATCTTTATGAAATTGTCTTGTATTCACTATAACTGGGAAGCAAGCCATCAAAGCCTTATTCTTCTGGCACATTAATTTCTCATGCCTGTGTTGATCCTCCAATTTATGGTAATTGCTGGAATACATATATAGTTGGGTGCTGAGAGAAAAGGTGGTTAAGTTTTTGCATCTGAACATTTCTTCAGCTCATGATATATAATGCAATCCTACATACATGACAAGACGATTCATTCAAATTTTTTTGCATTGAAAAATGAATAAATTAAATTATATCGCCAATCAATTCCCTGTATCTGCTCATTAGTACTTTTAGTCTCTTTACTTGCATACTATTTTTGTGCTTTTAAGTCTCTTTAGTTACTTTCATTACTGGGAAGTTACAAAGGAAGAAAGAAAAGGAAGAATTGGAAAAAGTAAAATAATCTCAAGTGATTAAAATTAGAGAACCAAGTTATAAAAAGAATTAAAACTTGAAATATATTCCATATTTGGACTTAAGGACTAAATTTTTTTAAATACTCAAATATTATAGAAAAAAATTAGCTCTTTTTATGAGAGAACTAGTTTTAATATAATTAGCCAGCGTGAGTTGTTAATTAGACTGTTTTATAATCATTCTAATACCCTACTGTACATTTTTAAGACCTAACTACTGTGAAAAATTCAGCAATATTGAAGCACTAATAGTACAACCACAAAATATATGATCCATAATTTCTTCACAAGGTCTAACACCACATCATTAGAAGACAAAACAAAATCCAAAGGATTTGATCTTATCATCTGTAGGCAGCTTTCTTTGTAACAAATTCCACATTAGAGAGGACAATTTAAATAGATGAGGCTTCATCAAAGGCATTTTATTCATAAGAGATGGATTTTGACGCTATTTAATGAGGTTTCATGCATTCAAGCAAATAATATTTCTTATAAGTATAGCCAATCCAAACAACCTAGTAATATTTTGATACCAAATGAATTTTAATCCCACCTATCTTAACAGGAAAAATCTAGGAACAAAGTGAGAAAATTTCGCAAGTGACACCACAACATTACATATCTACAATTTCCTTTCCTTTCCTTTCCTAACACAACACATCATATTTGGGTCAAAAAGTTTTTTTTTTCTTTTTAACTACGGAATAATAAAAAAAACAAACTTTTTTGACTATATAACATCTAATTTAATCAACTTTCAGTATTTATTTTCGTTTTCAGGAAGCGCGTTCACAATCCCAAAAATACAAGTGTTTACAGTTGCATTCAAAGGGACATCTCAGCAGAGAAAGACTTCTGTTACCTACATTTCTTTCTTCTCGCGAACAAAACAACTAAAGGGAGATTTTTTTTATTCCCTCATCCTCCTTGCTCTACACCCAATCTTTAAACCTAATCATAGCCGCCATCCTCACATCTCAATACTCCCACTTTAAACCCTACACCGCAACAATAAATATTGAACAGAATCCGTACAAAATATTATCATTCTCTATAATCAATATTCACTAAAATGAAATTTCTAGTCTTCAACCAAAAAGAGAAGAAAAGTGACAAACCTGTTCAAATTGATAACCATGTTATTATCAGTTTCTGAGTCTTCACCCAGTTCAAATAGACATCACGTGAGTCTTCAGCCTTTGAGAGAAAAATTTGAAATAGTTGATTGTTAAGGACTTCATATGCTTTCAGATTAAAAAACACATTGAGAGGATAGGGTTTCGTTTTGGAAAAAATACGAGAGATAGGGGGATGGGGTTGGTGGGGGGTTAATTAATATGCGTATTCTTATTTCATCTAATGAATAGGAGTAATTTTTATATTGGCGCGGTGGCGCTTTTACTCGCCGCTTAACTTAGCTTATTAGGGACGGGCAATTTATCTTTTCAATTAATTTAGAAAATAAAAAGAGAATTAGGGACCGGTCAAAAAACTTGTCCCTATGGGCACACTTTTATGGACCAGATTTCCGCAGTGTTGCTCGCTAATAAACCTTTTTCTTGTAGTGCAAATTACCTTAGAACCCTCTGAGGTGTGTACGGCTGAATTCCTTCCAATCTCACTAACTCGATGTAGTACTTTTCCGGGCTTCTCAAAATTGCCATGCCACTTAGCCACGAAAGTTTCAAGTTCACGAATTCTCCGCTCAAATGGGTCATCATGTCTCGTCACTCCTCTTGCCCATGCAGCATAACCCAATGTCTCATTCTTTCGTTATGGCTCCTGGTCATGTTACCGATGCCAGCAAAATAGTCAATGGTTTCCTACTTGTGAAAGAGATGTTATGCGGCCCATATCTGGAGTAATAAGTTGCAGCCATTGAAAAACCATATCCTTTAGAGCATGCTAACAGTGCCCGGAATGTCTCTGCCAATATCATGGGAACAAGGGTCACTTGCAGATTCCCTCAAAAGGTTGCCAAGACCAGAGGCAGCAGGTTGATGTTGATTCGTCCCTTTCTTTGCGGGAAAACTAATAATCCCAACAATGCCGGAGAAATGGTTAGGGGACAAAGACTCTCCCATGTTGTTTGATCGTATTGGAAATATTCAAGGTGCCACTCGTAACTTTCCCGGTGTCCGAATTTGTCGAACAGCTGGTCCAAACTAACCCATCCATCTTCGATGTTTCTCAAATTTCTGTTGCTTGTCATAACCAATGCATGAAGGAACCTATGGTCAGGCATGACAACTGGCAGTGTCGATTTCCATCCGGCAAATGGTAACTCCATGAAGCTGGTAATCTCATCCAGTATTGGTATCAATTTACAATGGACAAACTTGAAGACCACCTTAGCTGGGTCCCAAAACTCTATCAACAGCCTAGTAAGGACATTGTCGGCTCGGATGTTCATCAAGGCGGTCAGTGTTCCCAAGTGTATTATGATCTCCATGCTCCTGTCAGATTTTTCTCCACCATTGCTTCAGCTCGTGCGGTGCACCCATGACGATGTTAATCTCGGGGATGTTGATGTTGATTTCCATCTAAAGAGGTGAAAAGTTTGGTAAGTGTTTGCTCCTGGATCTTTAGAGTCTTATTTTGATTGGTTCGTCGTTCCACAAAAGGCATATCATCGGGTGCATGACCCGTTGACATTAAGGCATATTTTCTAATTGTGAGTCCACACCAAGGACTGACTTACCTAAGGTTTATGCAGCATGACCTATGTTTACTAGAGTAGAGTATTTCCTAATTTTAGAGTTAGACTGAATAACTGCAAGATGTTATGTCAGTTGACCCGTTGCCATGTTGTTGCATCCTATTTTGCACTAGTCAAAATAAAATATAACTAATGGTTCATCTAAGGTTGATAAAAGAGAGTTGCCACCCAATATTTGTAGGTATATTAGGGTACCTATAAGTCCGTAAGTTTATTATCCTAATAGTCTGCTAACAATTGGGCTTTGTGTAAGGGTTCTAGTTATTCTAAGGGGAAGGTGTTAGACATCCCTTAAAATTTACCTGAGGTGGCTCCTTAAACAAAGGTTAGGTTTGGGGGAAAGGAATATCTATATTCTGCTCAGTTTAATGTCTAAAATGGCTAAATAAGATTTGTAAAGAATGTTTTGAAACCTTGTTAGAAAAACACATTATTTTGGGAAAGCTGTGAATTCTATTTGAAAAGAGAGATATTATTTATGAGGTTGTTTAACTTGTAAAGCGAAAGATTTACCCGGTGGAAATGTGTCTCTAATTGGAATACCTTTGTCTTTGAAGACTGTTTTAGCAAGAAAGTTTTGTGCTTAAAACTTGTCGATGTTTGTTATTGCAAACTTGAATGTGTGTCTGCCTTTAATTTTGAAAATAGCCCGTTATCATATATGATCTACTTTGAAGTTCCAAGAAGCATTAGTTTTGGTTTCCAAATCTGTTAATTATTAAAAGCTAAAAATCATTAGTGATAAATGTGAGTAAACTGTTTATTTTAGGTTAGTTCCAAACTATAAAAGTTCAAGTAATGAAGAGTAAGCATGTTTTTATAATCCTAATCGACCGTCTTTTACCTACAACTTTTGGCTTTCCTAGGTTTCCTACAGAACCTCAAATAATAACCCACAACAATGTCAGTTTCAATATATATATGTCTATATACATGAGCAATAGATAAATGGCTAATGATTATTTAAAATAAAAGAGAAAGAGAGTTGGACTCTTAGTATGGGGCCAACGAATAATCAGTCCCAACAATGTTCACATAAGCGGCAGACTCAACAAGAAGGAAGATGGGAATGCGGCTCAAGTCTGGAACTTGGGTTTGAATTCCAAAGCTACTCAGTAGGCCTAGATCGTACATGCATAAAAGAACAGGGGAAATAATTAGTGAAAAAATCAATAAGAGATAAAATTATATCAAGTAACAATAATAACATGAGGGGGAGAAATATAGTGAAGCTAATTTTACTTGTATTAACCCCGGTGAGGATTAATAGGAATTAATAACCAAAGGCTTAGAATGAGACCTTATTCATGGATAAAATTCCCATGTGCCAGGGAGGGGTACTTTAGCGACAATTCAGGTTCACACCTAAATACCCTTAGCCATCTACTTTTACTCTTCCTCAAATGTTTAAACACAAGTAAAGTTTTAGCAATTTCATGCATTGCAAAAATAAACACAAGGTTCATGATAAGCTTCCCAAAAACTCATATGCACAAAAGTCAAATACACTGGTATAAACAGCTGCAGAAGATGTTGCATTATTATCAAAATACCAAGACATAAAAAACTCATAAGCAACAACCATACTAACCCTAGAATCTATTACCAGGATACTAACATAAGGGTATATCATGGCAAATGGACTGATAGTGTCTACTAATACTAGTGACCTTAAGGTTGATCTTTAACATATGTCAGAACGCTTAGAAAGATCATTACTAAGATACAGTAAGTTAAATGCACATTATCAGCAGATAAGTATTACTTCTAGTCAGCTCAGGTTTCAGAGAGTTTTAGTCAAGTGGTCCAAGCAGTGATAAATGATACAAAAAGACATATGCACTAGTTCCATTAGCTCTACTAAACTTCCGAATTGAGAATTATCCTACCAAATCAACTCCAAATTTCTCGAAAATATAAACCAACTACGCGTGTAAGTTATAATACATGAAATGAAGCTACTCAAGGTCTCAAACCATCAAATGATATGCTAGAGTATAAAATGACCGGTCGGGTCATTACAATATAGTAATCAAAGCATATAGCAAGAGGTAACATGGAATAAGTGATGACATAAAGGTAAATAGTCCAACCCGCATGATTTAACCCGTGAAAGCATATATACACTCGTCACCTCGCATATACACTATTTTCCTACATAATTCACATAACAAATAGACCAACAAGTCCTAATTGTCTCAAGTCAAACTTAGACACAATACTTACCTCTTTTCGCAATCAAATCAATACTCAACTATGGCTTTTCCTTTTGAACAAGCCTCCAAACCAACAAAATCTAGCCAAATATAATTCAAACAATTCAAAATACGCTTTAGAAACTACCCAAGAATAAAAAAGGTTCAATCATTGATGAAATTGAAAAAGTCAACAAAATTTAACCCCAGACTCGCTTGGTCAAAATTCGAGATCCGGACCAAAATTTGGTTACCCATTCACCCCCGAGCTCGGTTATGTGATTCGTTTCAAAATCTGGCCTCAATTTGAGGTCTAAATTTTAATTTTACAAAATTCCTAAATTCTACACAAAACCCCTAATTTCTATCACGAAATTCCTAGATTTGATGTTAATAACTCATAAAAAGTAATGGGGAATTGATAGAAAATATATTAGAGTTTCTTATCAATGAATTTGGGAAGATAAAATTCTTCAAAAATCGCCTCTTGAGTGTTTGGAGTTGAAAAATAGAGTAAAATTACCTAAGTCCCGATTTTTCTCTTTTTTGCCCAACTGTAGGTATTGAAATTTCGAACTCTTATTCGTAATTGTGATGCCCTCAAATACGAACATTTTTTCATAAAAGCGAACTGTGCAACAGTCTACTAACGTTGCATTTGCGACACAAAGCGTCGCATTTTTGACACAAAGCATCGCATTTGCGATAATACTAACTTTGCAAAAGCGAGATAGGCATTGCAATTGGGAAAGTTGTCCAGCCTAGCAGCCAATCGCATTTACGACCACCCCATCGCAAAAGAGAATCACCCACCTCGCTTTTGCGACTTTTTGTGATGACCCGGCAGGTCATTTTGTATATTATAACCTCATTCCCTATTTATCACTTCTTCTATGTTCATTTGTGGTTATGTGACTTGTCGGGGTGGTCAGATTGGTTTCAGGAATATTTTGGAGTGAATTAGAATAATTAGTCATAAGGTTGGAAGCTTGAGTTGAAAGAGTTGATCGGAGTTTGACTTTTATATAGACGAGTCTGGAATGGAGTTTATATGGTTCTGATAGCTTCGTATGGTGGTTTTGGACTTAAGCATATGTCCGGATGTTGATTTGGAGGTTCGTAGGTTATTTTGAGGCTTTTTGGCGAAAGGTAAAAAGTTGAAGGTTTTGAAGGTTTGACCGAGAGTTGACTTCATTGATATCGGGTTCGGATTTTGGTTTCGGGAGTTAGAATAGGCCCTTCGTGTCATTTGGGACTAGTGTGAAAATTTTGAGGTTTTTCAGAGTTGATTTGATATGGTTCGACATTAGTATTAGAAGTCTGAAGTTCATTAGTTTCAATATGCTTGAATTAGGGTAATGTAACGACCCGACCAGTCGTATTGAGAATTAGTGTCCCGTTCGGCAGCTTAAGGTCTCGAGCAGCTTCGTATTA